CGGGGTTTGAGGTTCCTTGATAATTCTAAATCCACAATCCACTTCTTTGTTTTCGGTCGGGAAAATTTATTATTTTCCATTTTTGGAAGTCTTTTCGTCCTCCCACCTTCTGCTGTTCTCATATTGGTATCTCACCCTCAGAGGGTGTCAACGGGTTTTCCCTCTCTCCCACAGTGGCATCTCACACCTATCTCCTCAGGAGGGGGCGCAACAGGCCTCCCTCCTTCTTCACATGATTACCTCCGCCTAACGCTCACGCCACCATTCAGCCAAGGGGCGCTCAGCAGCGCGGGTGTGGCTAGACTAGCCTCGGTTTAAAAAATCTTGCTCAAAGAAAAAAATTATCTTCCTTTTTTTCTTTTTCCTTTCTTCCCTTTCTTCTGACCGACAACAAACCTTAGACTCTTATCTCACCTGGACTTTATCAATCGAGATTTTTCGCCAATTACCAAGTGGGTGGTCAATTGGACGTATCGCACTCTGGCGTTAATTATTCCTGATAAAATATTTTTTTTTATCATAGCCAGCTCCTGGCACAAAACAGATGCCTTTTTCAAAGATCTCCGTAGAGAGCTAACGGGTCAATCTTTTCTTTCTTTGTAACTTGGGTGGTCCAATGGACGATTTCGTTTTTCGCGGCCCAGTGCATGACCTAATTAATATTATCTCTCAGTTTCTGTTTTGTAGGTCATTTGACCAACCTGGAATTTTCACCATTCAGTGCGCCGTCATAAATCAAATCAAATCCGACTCATCCGCGACCCTTTTTTTCCTCGCTAATGAAAATAAAACCTTTAGCATTTTTCTTTCTTAAAAAGAATAACATCGCTTGGTGTCCTTTTCGTGATGGCTTCTTATCACCTAAATTTAATTCTCGCCTTTCTTTTTTCTTCTTTCTTTCTAGCGTCCTAAATAGTGTCACAGTGGATTAATACAATAGTTCGTGAATTTCGTGATATAGTTAGCAATAAATGAACAATAATAAATAAGAACAGGTTCGATATCCCTAGATATGGACAGCGGATGTAGAACAATATATCCCTGTAGATTAAATAAAGGTTTAAATTTGAAATTCGCTGATGTCTGTTCATATCGATAAGCAGCTGGGGAAGGCCAAAAGGCACAATGGTCAAATAACAACAATGAGGGCAATAGTTCGAATGTAAATAATGAAACAACTCCGAAAGAAATCTCATGAGAAAACCTATAAAACAGAGAAAATGCTGTGTAACGTAACGGAGAGACTTGATCCGAGCAAAGCCGTATATCATTTTTAGGATTTACAGGAATCCCTCGATTAGTGCGGCCAATGTATACGTCGACAACTATAAAAAAAAATCAATTTTCAATTCCTATGTTTAAACTAAAAAATGTTTTGCCGCACTAATCGAGTATTATGCATGCACTAATCGGATTTTGGTAGATTCATTTTAGCGCAATAATCGAAAACGCATTAATCGAATGCGCATTAATCAAGGGATGCCTATGTTATATATATTTTCCAATTTTCTCTACAGGTGCTTGACTGTTGAGTCGTCTTTTGACTACATACAGCACGTGCCAATTTTCATCGTCCTATTTGTAAGTACACATTATTATCTTCTTTTGATTTATAATACATATACTATATATATATATATATATATATATATATATATATATATATATCAAATATGTGGTGCAGTTCAATTTATATTACAATGAATCATTCATACAAAAGTAGATTAGTAAAGTTAATGATATAAAATGGCGAAATCGCAAAGAAAAATTTTAATGCAACTTTAAAATTTTGTTTGCGAAGAGTTTTCGCCATTTTATATCATTAACTTTACTAATCTACTTTTTGCATGAATGATTCATTGTTATATATATATATATATATATATATATATATATATATATATATATATATATATATATATATATATATATATATATATAATATATATATATATATATATATATACATATATATATATATATCGCTTTAAATGATATTTTAGTGGATGCTCATATTTGATTAGACGACCCGTTTATTTATTAAAAAGTATATTTATCCATTTTTGTCTACTGGACTGAATATTAGAGAAATCTTATTAAAGAAAAATATGCGTTCTATTTTTATTTAATAAGACTTTTACAATATTCAGGCTAGTTGACGAAAATAAATAAATATACTGTTTCATAAATAAACAGGGCGTCTACTGAGACATGAGTATCTAGTAAAAATAACGTTTAAAGTGATAAAGATCTGTCGGATTAATATATATATATATATATATATATATATATATATATATATATATTAATTGATTTAAAATGTTTTTTCACTACAAAGTTCTAACCATGTTTCAAAAATGGAAGCTAAAAGCTTCGAATGTAATTTAATAAAAATAAGAATAAAAATAAGAATAATAAAAATAAAATTACATACACACATTATAAAAAAAACAATACCAATCCTTTATATATACACCCTAAATCAAATCACCCCCCCATCTATAATAATGCATATACCGTTATCTATCTGTAAAAGAATAAGTACAAATTCAGCAAATGACAAGATTTTCGATGAAAATTCCTATAATAAAGCTCTAAAAGGGAGTGGCTACAAAAACCCAAAACTAACTTATATTAAAAATGAAAATGGAAAGCATAGAAAAAACAGCCAAACAACCAAATGGTAAAAAAAACAAATTAGGACATAAATTCCTCGCATTAATAGTCACGCATTTTCCTAGTGAAAGTAAACTAAGTACTATTTTCAATAAAAACACACTAAAATTGAGTTACAGCTGTACGGAAAACTTAGAAAAAATTATTAAGAAACATAATGCTAATATCTTAAATAAATACTTATCCCAAAACCAAAAAAATTTAGACAATGGAAAAATAAAAATAAAAACTGATGAAGATAAACAAAAATTACGTAACTGTAGAAACCCTCATAATTGCCCTCTACAAAATAAATGTCGCACAGAATCATTAGTATACCAATGCAATATCTCTTCGATTGAAAATCCTTAAAACATAAAAATATATATAGGTTGCACTAGCCATGAGTTCAAAAAAAGATTCAACCAACATCAAAGTTCATTTAGGATAAATAGATATAAAAATCAAACATCTCTCTCGAAGTACTTCTGGCATCTAAAAGAATCAAATAAAACACCTACAGTAAAATGGAAGTTAATAAGAAAAGCTAGAATATGAAGGTCATTAAATGACCCATGTCTTTTGTGCATAGATGAGAAACTATATATTACTAAGTTTATAAAAAATAAAAATTTACTGAATCAGAGAAATGAAAAACTATTCTATGCCGCCATTTTCAAAAGTTTTCCTTAAATAATATTTAAAAATAAGAATAAATTTAAAAAGTGCGACCCGGTAATATACATACTTATATTTAAGGTGAAAAATAATTTTATATACTGTAAGTAATTCTATTACATTTACTTGGATAAAAAACAAGTCTATTAAAATAACAGTGAAAATATTTTAAAGTTGTATTTAAAATTGTAGTTAAAACGAATTCTAACCTAAACATCTTTTAAAATTGTTGTTAAATAAAACGTATTCTAACTTAAGTACCTCTCTCAAAGTACTACAAGCACTTAAAAGAATCCAATAAAACACCTACAGTAAAATTAAATTAACATGAAAAACTAGAAGATGTAAGCCATTGAATGACCCATGTCCTTTGTACTTACATGAGAAACTATATATTACTAGGTTTATAAAAAATAAAGTTTACTAAATCAGGCTTTTTTGCCGTCATTGTCATAAATTTTACTTAAATAATATTTAAATATAAATTTTTTTAAAATTATGACCTAATAATATACATAGTTATACTTGATGTGAAAATAATTTTACTTACTGTAAGTGATTCTAATACATTTACTTGTTTTAAAAAGAAATATAGTATATTAAAAATTAAAAGTGAAAATATTTTTAAAATCGTAGTTAAAAACGTATTCTAACCTAAACACCCGCAAAAATCTTTAAGTATGCAAACAGAAAAAAATGCCTTAAGAATTTTTGCCGTTAACAATAATTTTTTTTAAAAAATCCAGACCACATGCATTTAACGGATGTCAGAATTCATTGAAAAACACATCCCTACCCCTACCAAAACGTAACTAATAACTGATACATCAAAATACAGCGATAATGAACATGCAAACACCCCTTGTCTAGATGAATGGATTTCTCTGTATCCTTGGAAACGTGAATTATGATTTTTTGCTGTGCCTTTAAAACCCAGCAATTTTAAAATAAGTTACTCCAAAATTCGCTTGAGGACGAAATGGAACTAATGTTTTAATTTAATTTACAAAATTAAATTCGATGCTTTTAGCTTCCATTTTTGAAACATGGTTAGAACTATGTAGCGAAAAAAAACATATTTTAAATCAATTAATTTATAATATTAATGCTCTGTAAATTTACATTGAGCACTATTTTGTAAAAATAAAAATATTTATAAGAACACCGGATTATATAGCTTACTGTCCTTCTTTCTTTATACATATATATATATATGTGTGTGTGTGTGTGTGTGTGTGTGTGTGTGTGTGTGTGTGTGTGTGTGTGTGTGTGTGTGTGTGTGTGAAAATCACATCCGAAACGAAAGGCGCCCCGCATCCACCAGAGAACTGACATCACTGACCACCTAACGAGGAAGGGGGTGGGGAATTAAACAAAAGAAAAATAGGGACAGAAATAAAAGGAGCCAGTTGCGAAGAGCACATCCAAGCAATCACCATGAAAGTATTTATAGAAAGAAGACAACAAACAATACATAATAAAGACGGTGTTCAATGTAAAATAAACATAATAGTGCCAGTATAGAATATAAGTAAAGTAATACTCATATGTTACGGCTTTCCGCGATTTAAAGTTTCATGTTGGTACTGAAATGTTGATGTTATTCTCAATATATAATTAGAGCGAAAATAGTCTATAAATTAATAAATGTGAATCCATTAAGCCGCTTATCGCTTGACGACTTCAGTGTTTCGCATAAATCCGCTAATAAGAGACAGTGCCCGATAAATCTGATGAAATACGCTAATCGTAGATTCAAAATTTGAAATATGAACTACACTAAGTCCGTTAAGAATATGAAAACATTTAGATATCCTGAAGCGGTTAAATGTTCGATATAATTTCGTCGTTGCAAAATATAATTTTTGAAAAAATATGATAAAATAAAAACAGCAAATTTGCCAACGGTCATATACAGCGTGCGATGGGTAAATTGTCGCCATATAATATTTTTAATTCCGCGCATGCGCGTCGTTTGTTTTTTATTTTGTCGACTGTACAGTATCATCATCATCTTGCGGCCTCAGCCGAGATTGAACTCACCAATACTTTGATTGGTATAGTTCATAATCTTGTCAAATAGCTGAATTCTTGATGCTTCGCTAGGGCTATCAAGGGTGTTTTTATCGTGACACCATCACTAAATGGATTGCCAACCAAAGCTCAGAGAGACTCCATTCACCCTCATCTAAGAGTAGGTTTGAATTCAGAGTTTTCTTCTCCTAGACCAGTTGCCATCCAAGGCTATAGAACCCAGTCTGTCCTGCTATTTACCCATAGCTGGAGGGAGAAGAAAGAGGATTCACACCTTTCCCAAGGGTGTTAGCACGTAAGATTCGACTGGAATACGAACTCGGCTCTCCGATTCCTCAATCCAAGCCGCTATCCATTACTCCAACGTGCCTCCCTGCACAGTATAGTAGGGTCCGTTGAGCACAGTCTGCGAGAAAAAGACCACCATGATGCAATTCACTCTGCCAGAAGTTTGGAAACAGCTTGGCATTCACACGGGAAGTGTTTGGTTTTCAATCTGAGGACAGTGCAAAGAATTCAGAAAGAATTGGATGTGTCTAATGGTGATTATGAAGATGTCTGGGGTGATCACTTCTGATGTCCTCATTATGCTTACATTCATCTTCCCACAGGGACTCAGACTCAACACGGAGGCCTACATCAAGCGCCTTGATGAGGTAATGCTGCCCTGTGTCAAAACAGTGGCTGCTGGAAGACCCTATGTCTGGCAAAACGACTATGCATCATTCTACACAAGCAAGAGAATCCAGTCATTGCTGTCAGACAATTTCTGTGACTGCATCACTCCTTACATCTGGCCACCTAACTCTCCAGATTGCAACCCCCTTGATTACTATGTGTGGAGCGCAGTTGGGCGCAAGACCAACAAAACCCCTTGTAACAACAAAGATGAATTGAAAGTAAATATTATGTCAGCACTTACAAACTTAAACAAGGAGACCGTCTAGAAAAGTTGTAGGAGAATCCAAAGGAGGTTGTGGTTGAAGCCAATGGCGATTTTATTGAATAAATTTACACTTTAATATTTCAAGATATTCTTGTGCACTCTTAGTAAATATAAGTGTTAAAATGAAATGTCAGTGTTATTTTCGTTTTTGCGTAATTTGGAAGACAATTTAACCAGCGCACCCTGTAATTCGGAAAATAGAGACACAAATTATCTTAATACTCAAACTTACCAATTATTTATTTTAAATGACTTAATTATACATTGTTTTTACTTGTCTTATATCATTAGTTTATTATTCTACATATTACAGTCTACTTATTCTGTAGGCATTAGATCCTGTTCGATGAACAAAGTTAAGCAACGTCGAACTGGGTTAGTATTTAGATGGGGTTCCGCTTGGGAACTCATGGTACTGTATATAATGGCAAAGCTCATATCACTATGATATAATTCGGGCATTAAAGATTCCGCCTGTGTCTTACCCTCACCGAATCGGATGCAGCACAGACAGTCTCCAATTATCTAGACTGGCTTTTGTCATTGGATTAACACTGTCTGATGCTAAGGGTCCACATAGTGTTGTGTAAGCTATGAAGACTATAGACAATCGCACGGGTCGCATCGAACTTTCGATGCTTGGTGGGGAAACTGCTTTGTCCATTGCGGGCTGTTTCTTGTGTATGATAAAAACATACTTTATAAACATACTTTATATATATATATATATATATATATATATGGGTAAAAATGGTCACTACCAAGGATAGAGTATGTGTAAATATAAAAGTGGACACTGAGATCAACACAGAAAGGCGGTAGTCCGTTTCATGCTTGAACGCAATCTTCGGGCCTTCTACACACACACACACACACACACACACACACACACACACACACACACACAAACAGATAGATAGATAGATAGATAGATAGATATGTGCGTCCCTGTGTGCAAAAATGTCTGTATTAATGATATTATAAATAAAAAAGAAAAGGAAAACATCTCAGCCGACACGTTTCGTTCTCTGATGGATGTTAGCTAGGCAACTGTAAGAATTTTATATTGTAACAAGACCAACTTGCTCGTTTCTGGCACATACACAAACATTCATTTCCAATGACGGATTACTTTCAGCTTGCATAAACCATTAGCATTATCACTTATTGCGAAAAACTAAAAACCTCCAACATGATTATCATCAACGACCCAAAAAAATCAAAACTTCAACAACCCAATGCCGTCTATAAATTCGCATGCCCACTTGGAGTATGTCTCTATTATAATAATAATAATAATAGTAATTCATACACCACATACATTGGTTACACAACCACTACATTACCGAACCGGGTAACATGCCATTAATCTGATAACCCTTGTACCCTTGAGAAAGGTATGAATCCTCTTCTTCTCCCTCCAGCTATGGGTAACTAGCAGGGCAGACCGGGTTCTATAGATGTCAACTGGTCTACCGCAGAAAGAAATGGCAACCTACTGCAGGAAAATATCTGCCTCGTCAGTCATGTATTGAAGAATACATGATCGTATCAAGAATGGCACACAATTGACTGACTTTATCAGTGATAAAAATCGTTTTAGGTGGATTGCAAAATTGAAACCAAACCGACTTTTTTCTGTTAAAAATTTAGCGAGATCTGAAAAATGAAACTTAAGTTATTTTAAAACATTTTAAATTCAAATTTTATTCTTCGTTTTGGACATACGAAGGGTCGTTCGCGCTTTCTTTTTCTTGTTTGCTGTGGGCCGAAACATAACTTTTCCTTTGCCCTAACGGGGATTAGTAGTAAACGCTTTCATTCGATCGTCAAAACAAGACAAACAACAATCAGCAGCAGCCGCATGCAAGAGAGGTAACCGTTGTGGAAAGCCAACAAAGTACGTTTTTGAAGAGATTGCAAAAACGTAATTTGTAGGCAAACATTATTTCGTCCCCGTAGTGAAGGAAAAAGATGAATTACCTAATCATATGCGGTAATAATTAAAGCATAATTCAATTTATTATTGGTTCTGTTGTTTGGGAGCCGTTGAGAGATGTTCTAGCGCGAAGTCACAAGTCATCGTGACCGAGGATTTGAGCGTGCTGGTCTGCTTCAGGCTGTTGATTAGTCACGATAATGAGCTCTTTCCCAGAAACTGTAACTAATGTCTGCTCAGTATAGATGCAATATAAAAGCACAGGTGGACTCTAACATTATCATTGAAAGACGAAAAGAATCACCATACTGATACACGTTTAAATCCAATCTAAGCTTTCGCCTTACATAAGCCATTATCAACGATGACAATTACTTTTCAATATATCAACCAATACACGGACGAAACAATAATGATAGTCTGTTTTTGTTGCATGAAAAATTTCAAAGCAACGACTAACGTGTATACGAAACGCGGAAGCGAAAATCGCGTCGCAGCTCGTGACGTCACACATGACCACGCGAGAGTGAAAACGATAAGTATTAAGTATGGGAATGCGTTGGTATAAACCAATGGCTTCTGTTATCAATTATAGGCATTTAAGAATATTTGTGGAGATTTCATAGTTTATTTTGTTCAGGTTAGGTTTCAACTGTTTTATGTATAAAGCTTCAAGAATTTTTAGTTTTTGTTTATTGTTTTCATGTTTAAGTATAGTTGTGTTTTCAACAAGGATTTTCCGGAATTGTGTACGCGGCCAGGCATGTTGTTTTAAATGCCAAAAATGTTAGAGTTATCATTCAAATGTAGAGTCAAGCGTCGTGAAAACGAGTTTGTGGTGTGACCAATATAAATTTTATTTAATCCAGTGGAGATACAATCTCCCAAAGGGCACTTGAATTTGTAAACTATGTTGTTTTTTTTTGCAAATTGCTAAGGTGGAAGGGGAAGAATCGTTGCGAATAATTAAATTGGATATACTAGATTTAGTGTAGTATATGATTAACCTAATTTTTTTACTAGGATCTGTTGTGGATATATTAGTAATTTTTTTAGTATATTTTCATTTTGTTTATAATTAGTATGCATTTGGCTACGATATAAGAGAGTAATATATTTGGGATTAGTTCAAGCAGTATTATGTTTTATTTGCTTGGTATTAAGACTTCTAAGAAAGCATTTTATTTGTTCATCAACTATATAGTTTGCAAAGCTATTATTATTATTTCGTCTTTCAATGAGAATCTTATTAAGCTGATCAAACAATATGAAAGGAACTTACTTAAAATAGACAAAACTTGTCTATATTATTTAATGAAACATGCATTAATGAAAAATTACTGCCTAAATATACCAATATATATATATATATATATATATATATATATATATATATATATATAGTTGATTGATGCGAGTTTGTGAACCTGGGTTTTGTCTGACGGTCGCAAAGGACGTGAAACCCAGGATCACAAACTCAATAGCTGGACACTCGAATTCGAGGATACCCGTCTACTAGGCTAACCAATCCCTAATGCAGACTCTCGCTCAGTCACATTTGTGTTTGCTCAACATCCACAGAGCCCACCTGTGGTTTATACTGCAACTATGCTGAGCAGACCATAGTTACAGTTTCTGGGAGAGAGCGTGTTATCTAGCGGGAACAACAATATGAACAAGACCGGCACGCTCGGGTCCTCGACCACAACCACTTGTGGTTTCGTGCTAGCACAGCTATCGAAGGCACCCGAGGGTTCCGTCTACCCAATTTCAATGACAAGGCTTGGGTCAACACGTGGTATGGTTTTCAGGCACTTTCCAAAGGTGCCGCACGCTGGGATCGACCTCGATCCAGTCCGATAACATCAGGAAGTCGCCTTCCTGGAAAATCGACTATGGTCAGATTAGAACCCAGGTTTCATGGTCAGAAATATATATATATATATATATATATAGTTTTTGACGGAATTTCCTCTTCGTCTGAGGAGTTTTATTCAGAATTCAGGAAAAGACGATCATTAAAATTAATCTACACAGTTGTTCTACAGAAGGATGTTGACAATACCATGGACCGAACATGTCACCAAGGACAATGTTTTAGGGACAATGGCAACAAAAAATGACACTTCTACCTAACATCAGGAAGAGACAGCTGAAATCTCTGGGACACATAATGAGGAAAGATAGCTTGGAAAATGTGATACTTACAGGACAGATTAAAGGTAACAGAGAGAGAGAGGAATGCAACGCACAACCTACTTGACGAGCTTGAGAGAATGGATGGTGGAACAGGGTTTGAGAGAGATGGAAAAAAGACAATAGTTATTAAGAGCTACAAAGACAGAAAATTGTGGAGACCCATGATCGCCAACGCCCTGAAGAGATACGGCACATAGAAGTCCAGTCTAGCTCGTTCACCATCATACCCACACCGAAGTGCCCAACGTCTATATAATACTGGCCACAAAGACTGTTCTACACAGAAACCACACACCTAAACCAACTCGTACTTTCTTCGCCATTTTATACGCGACGTTATTTTTTAGAATATCTTGAGAAGGGATTTAAATTTATCTGTTTCATTAATTCACAGAGTATCTTTATTGCTGCTTATCAGGTTTTCAGCGAGGGCTTTGATCGAGACTTCAAAAATCATACTATGAGAGCTTGATATGTCATGTAGAATCTCGTATACCAGTTAGAGGCAAACTGCGTCCCGTTTGCCTTTCCCGAATATCTCACCTAATTTCATGAAGAAAATAACGCTTATTAAAGTTTTATTTGATTTCTTTCATTCTCACTTGTTCACTCACACACTCTCTCACACATAACCACTTAGATAACAATGTTTCTTACATTTTATAACCTTTCGTTTACGACAATGTCTTCATCATTTTAAACCATTGGTGATTTTCACTAAGGAAGACGATATGTGTAAACTTCTTTTGCTTTGATAACAGAAAACTTTAATAATAATTTATCTAGTCAGGTGGATAAATTAGAAACAATTCACATGCAGTCGCCTGTGTTAATCTGTCATTACTGGTAATTTTATATCAAGACTTTAATAATGTAAAAAAAATCTTTTCTCAAATGTTAAAAAAAAATATTTCCCCATTTCTAAGGTAGATGCATACGCGTATGGTCATCTGTAATGAAAAATATTCAAGCACTTTCAGTAAAAAAAATTACCTTAAATCCTCTTTTCCTAGCACGGCTGATGATGAGCCATATCTCATACGACCCACTAATCGGTAAAGGTTCCCTATGCCTACTCTATCCAATCTGGGATATAATAAGTGTTGTGGTACGATCCACCTAATTTACATAGTGGAGTACCGACCATATGAATATGGGTTGGTACCGGGAAGACGGGGGAAGTAACAAGAGATCCAATCCAGAGACTCTGCCCGACTGCGATTAAGTCAACCCATTCTACAGGAACAGTCTTCCCAAGAATATACCAAAACTAACTGTAAATATTGTGTACCTTTTCCTTGTTTCAATACATTTTGTTTGCGTACATTTTGTGTTGTATTATTATTATTCCATGCTTTCCAAGCTTCAACAATAAGCAAACGGAAATCTTAACTCTGTTACATAATAAAAAGGTTTTAAAATTATGAAAAGAAATCTCAGTAACTTATTATAATTCTATTTGTCTCTTCCTTAGCACGACCGCGACGCCCTGTCAATAGCTTATAAATTGATGGACTATTCCGTTTTGATCTCCTGGAAACAAAAAAATGACACTTCTACCTCTTTAACGGACGCTACTTGGTTTCACTGAAAAGAATTAAATAAAAGAAAGAAGGGTTTAACGTTCCCTGCCAATATCTCATAAGTAATGGACTATTCTGTTTTGATTGCATAGAAAAACGGAAAAAATATCAGAGGCTCTACTTGATTTCCCTGACAAAAAGAAAGAAAAAAAGAAAGTTGTGTTTAAGTCTTTTTCAATAAAATGGAAAAGTTGTCAATTTCAAATTAATTAAAATTCATCAGAAAATTCAAATAGGAACACTCACAAACACGTAACATTCTCACGGACAAGCAGTTCACACGGACAGGTCGTTAACACGTGCGTCAACGAAATCCTATCCTATTATAATTATGCTTGTACCTCTCTTTATTAGTTCGCACCGTTGTTACGCCCTTCCAATACCTTATAAATAATGGGCTATTTCGTTTTGATCACATGGAAAGAGGAGCCACTACTTGGTTTCAGTGAGAAAGTGAATGAAAGAA